TGTGTCGTGGTAGGGCAGTAGCTTCCGAGCTGCAAAGAACATTTCGTTGGATGAAGGATTCTGTGCGATTCCAAAGCTTGCACAGTCTGACATCAATATTGGTATAACCGAATCAAGAAAAGAGGCCACATTTTCTCACTGGGAAGCAAATCATGTAACCTGACAGCTAGAAGGGGCTCCATGTCCTACAGTCAGTCCCAAATCCTGCCTTAGGAGTAGGCAAAGTTGGAGCAGCTGTATCCCAACACATACCTATTGAGTACCCCTCCCCTTCAGTGCATCTTACAAAGAGATACTGCACACCCTTCCTAGGAAGTCCAGGACTGTTTCCCATATGGAACTTCTCCATGGGGAGTGCAGGGCATGGGCATGTGAGACCACTGTGTGCCATCATGTGAGAAAATCATGGGTTCATTTGGGCCACATGTCCATGGCGTGGCTTTCAAGCAGATGGCGAAAAAGACACGTTGACTTTTAGCACATGATGGCAAATCGAAAAACATCCCTTGTTTTGCCTCTGAGGCACATGTGGGTAACCCAGGGGCCACATGATGTGGCCCTGGAAGGCCTTCAGCACTACCTGATGTACATGCCCCAGCTGCTCCCACTGCCAACCCCCTCCCAAAAAATGCCACAAATTGCTTGAGAGCGTGAGTGTGATGTGCAGGGAGGCACATGAGGAGCATGTAAAATAATAGAATTGTTGAGTAGGAAGGGACCATGAGGGTCATCTAGCCCAACCCCTGCAATGCAAGAATCTTTTGCCCGACGTGGGGCTCAAACCCACCACCTTGAGATTCCGAGTCTCGTGCTCTTACCAGTGGAGCTGTCCAGTTTGAAACATGCCTTCTCCTCATGTATAGCCCATGCTCCTCCCAGCCTGCCAAACAGCTGTTTGGGTGACTGGAGGAGAGCATGACTCTAATGGGGACGAAGGGTGCAGTTCTGTTGCCGAGCGGCTGTCAGAGTTAGGAAATGTTTCTCCTTCATTTGCAACGTTCTGCCTCTTCTGCCAACCTCTTTCGAACAGCGAAGGGGTGCGACTCAGTGGCATTTCCAGGTGGGAAACCCTGGAGAGCTGCTGCCAGTCTGTGTGGCCAATGCTGAGCTAGATGGACTTGGAATACAAGGCAGCTTCCTATGTTCTCAACTTGAGGGTGTGAGATATTTGACATACTGGAGAGAGAGAGGGGGGGGGCAGAAGTTCTGCGGCACACAGCACGGTTCTGTTTACTGGTTTCCCTGAGCAACTTTTGAGTGCCTTGCGAGGATGTAATGTTGGGGAAGCAACCTCCTGCAGCAGCAACAGGAGGAGGCAGCTGTGCGCTTTGCTCTGCTATGGCTGTTATGGTAATGTTGAAAGAAAGGAGAGAGAGAGAGAGAGAGATGGTTGCAGGGTTACTGTCGGTCATTGCAAACTTCAGAGGCCAAAGGGAGGGAGAACTCCACCAGTGTTCAGTGTTCAGTCAGCCTCTTTAATACCCAGCCTTGTGAAGCTGAGGTTGGGTTAAACACACTCGGCTATTTAGAGGAAGCAAAAACAACCCCCCCCCCTCGACTCCTCGCACTAAAACCACAGCCTGGTTCTTGAAGGGATATGAAATGTATCCCTTCTCCCTTTCTGTGCCGCCCCCCTCCCATGCTTAGTGCAATGAATCCCGGAGCTTTTATCCATTCACCTCTTGACAGATTAGCACAGACAGGCTTGGGACTCCATGTGTGTGTGACCAGCATGAATGTCAAAGCGGAATGTACACAATCTAGAGCCCGGATTAAAGTCTTTGGCCATTATTGCTGTAAACAAAGTCTTTCCTCCTCTGGAAAACAAAGGAGAATGGGTGCGTTTTAAAGCCAGTTGGCTTTTGGAGAGAAAGGGGATTTCTTGCCCCCCCCTCCCACCGATCCTCCTCTGCTCCTGCAGAAAATTTGACAAGGCTGTGAAAAGGAGGTGTGTGTGTGTGTGTGTGTGTGTGTGAACATGGCTAACCGGAGCATGTTTTGATCTCATATACTGGAGCACCTTCCTCTCCTTAATTATCAGGGCTCTTGGCGTACTGCAAGGCTACCAGCCCATAGATAAATTATGTATTCTTATTGTATAATTGTGAATAGAGGGAATCAGGAGAAGGGAAGAGGTCCGAGAGAGAGAGAGAGAGAGAGCACGCACTCAGCTGGTAGAGCATGAAACTCTTAATCTCAGGGTCATGGGTTTGAGTCCTGCGTTGGGCAAAAGATTCCTGCATTGCAGGGGGTTGGACTAGATGACCTTGTGGTCCCTTCCAACGCTACAATTCTATGATTCTTTGGTGGACAGTAAGGTGAGGTAAAGGTGCTGGGAGGGTTTTCCATGGAGAGGAAGGAAATACTTTTAACCTTTTTGTGTTTGCACGGAACTATTTCTTATATCCAGTTATCTCACAGTAGATCCATTGGAATTAATGGACCTATGTTAGCCATATCCATCAATTCCAATGGGTCTACTCTAAGTAGGAGCAACACTGCATACAACTCAATTTGCAGATGTGCTCCTGGTTTTGTTTGTTTTGGGTTGTTGTTGTTTTTTAAAAAAAATCTTTCCAGCCATGAGATCTAGAAACTTGCCCTGTGTTGTAAAATGATATTTGGTGCTGGGCAGAATCGAGAAGCTGCCCTTGGCACTCTGTGCGGCTGCAACCGCGTGCAGTGAGAGCAGACCCTGAAGTTGTTGCTGTGCGCTGCCCAATGCGCCTTTTCTCTTAAGCATTTAACTGGCACCACCAAGCAGTCATGTGCTATGCAGGCTGGAGGCTCCTTAATCAGGAAACCTTTCTTGCCGCATTTAACAGCAAGCGTATTTTTAAACCAGCCTGACGGCAGATGACAGTAAAGGATGACGACAATGCTGATGGTGATTAGATGCTACATGCATCTCCTTCATCCCTTTATGCTGACCCAGTGCACACAGCAGAGCGTATGATGGGGCTGTAAACATACCTCTTTTGATGCCAGATTGTCAGCTAGGTTTAAAAACAACCCAATCTGTAGTCTGGGAAGTTCGATTTGGAACAACAACAACAACAAAAAGACTTTGGCTCAAAGCTCTGCTCAGCTGTGAAGTTCTCTGGGTGGTTTGAGGCATGTCCAGTCTCTTTTTTAAAGAAACAAAAGGTGCCGGTACTCACCATGAAGTTGCTATAGTAACTCCCATGCTTTTAACATGGGGGCGGGGGCGGTACTGCTCGTCCTTGAGTACCCCCAGAACATGTCAGTATTTTTCAGACAAACCTACCTTTCAGGGGCACTGTGAGGATGGAATGGGACAACCTCATGTTTGCTGCCTTGAGCTGATGGGAATAAGACCAGGATACAAATTGAGGAATTAAAACCGGCTCATCATTCGCAGTTGCTGCAACTCTTCTATCCTGTTGCATTTATTCACTGCTGGTAGTCCAGTACTCCTCCATTCTGCACTTTGATCTGTAGAGCTTTTCTCAACAGAGCATTACAATAGCTGCTAATGAAATACGTTATCAAAGGCAAGATTATTTCTAGAGCGTCTGTGTTTGGAAAGATTCCTAAGAGGCCCACTCTGTCCTTGTGTCATAGATGAACACATGTGCCTATGCACACACGCTTGCCCCTGTGTGCCTGCTCCCCGAGGAATCTGTAGGATCTCAGCCATCCAGGTTCAGCAGCGGAAGAGGGCTTTGGCTCTTACTGCCATGCAAGTGCAGCAGTTCAGCTGTCTGCCTCTCTAGAAGGAAACTGGTAGCTACTGAAGAATAGCACTCCAGGGTACATTGGTGTTTGGTGTGCACAGGACTATAACTGTTTCCTGCTGCTGGTGATGCCATCCTTGGAAATTGAGCCTACTTTTGTTTGCCTGGTCCCGCCTCCTCATTTGCATATTTCCACCCAAATGTTTGCATCTTGGTCATGCTGCAGATATATATATATATATATATATATATATATATATATATATATCTATATATATTACCTATATATATATATATATAGGTAAAGGTAAAGGTACCCCTGCCCATACGGGCCAGTCTTGCCAGACTCTGGGGTTGTGCGCCCATCTCACTCAAGAGGCCGGGGGCCAGCGCTGTCCGGAGACACTTCTGGGTCACGTGGCCAGCGTGACATCGCTGCTCTGGCGAGCCAGAGCCGCACACATAAACGCCGTTTACCTTCCCGCTAGTAAGCGGTCCCTATTTATCTACTTGCACCCGGGGGTGCTTTCGAACTGCTAGGTTGGCAGGCGCTGGGACCGAGCAGCGGGAGCGCACCCCGCCGCGGGGATATATATATATCCCTCCAAATAACCCTATTTTTCCAGGGATGTCCCTCATTTAGAGAAGCCGTCCCAGTTCTGATCTGATCCCAGAATGTCCCACTTTTCCTTAGGATGTCCTGAGGGACCTACATTGGCTCCCAGTATGTTTCCAAGCACAATTCAAAGTGTTGGTGCTGACCTTTAAAGCCCTAAATGGCCTCAGCCCAGTATACCTGAAGGAGCGTCTCCACCCCCATCGTCCAGCCCAGACATCAAGGTCCAGCTGCAAGGGCCTTCTGGTGGTTCCCTCATTGTGAGGTTACAGGGAACCAGGCAGAGGGCCTTCTCAGTAGTAGCACCTGCCCTGTGGAACGTCCTCCCATCAGATGTCAAGGAAATAAGCAACTATCTTACTTTTAAAAGACATCCAAAGGCAGTCCTGTTTAGGGAAGTTTTTAATGTTTAATGCTTTACTGTGTTTTTAATATTTGGTTGGGAGCTGCTCAGAGTGGCTGGGGAATAAATAATAAATACGGTAATTATTATATTATTTTCATTCGAGAAACATTGGAGGGTATGGAGTTTTCTGACCCCTGAGCTGTCTGAAGGCAATCCTGTATAGGGAAGTTTTTTTTAATGATTAATGTTTTATTATATTTTTATATATGTTGGAAGCTGCCCAGAGTGGCTGGGGCAACCCAGTAAGATGTGTGGGGTATAAATAGTAAAATTATCATTACGGAATGGGGAGTCCTTATTTTCACCGGAGAAATGTTGGAGGGTATGTATATACAGAGCATGTATGAGAAGGCAGAGAAAGAATTGAGACTGGGATGTGGTCTAAGGGCATAGATCACAGGTATCCTACAGGCCATGTAGAATGATAATAGGCCCTTTTGTGCATGCAGAGCTACACACATAGGTCTCCTCCATGTGAGGGAAAATCCTCACATGAAAGAGCCCTGTGGGTGTTCACCTGTGCACAGATATTAGGGCCCAGTTAGGACAGTGGAGGGAAGCAGAGCTAGCAATGCAGCACCCTGGATGGAGGGAGTTAGGTCTACCCCCCTACAGTCAAGCAGAGGCTGGGACTTGAGTTCCCTTGGTGGAAACAGATCCAGCACTGGTCCACATTGGCTTCTTGACTTGGCACTTTCCCTATACAGAAGCAATGACATTTGCATGCAAAGTAATTCTGCTGTTTATTGGGATCCCTGGGCTGTGGCATCCCAATGCCCTGATGCAAGGACTTTCTTGAAGGTGCATTGATGATGTCCCAATGGGACTTGTGCATTCCATCAGCAGGTATCCCTCTTGGTGCAATCGGTTGCAGTAGGGAGAACATAGGTTTAGGGGATTACGTTGCATCAAAGAGAGGAGATGTTGGCAACCCTAGAAAGTAGCTGTCAGCATATCCACAGCTGTTTAAAAGGCACCAAATCGGATTATACTGTTAGCAGCAACATCTCTCTGCTCCCCAGTCGTCCTCTAATGTTCCCTGGAGTGACAAGCAGCTCAAGTTTTGCATAGCCTTCTGCATTCTCCTCTGAATGCTTACTCTGAAATACAGCAGTGCACAGGCATGCAGTACATTTGCTGCCCTTTTAATATTTAGCTGGTGACCTAAACAGGCAACTGTTGTTCCCAAAACAAGGCAGCTCTGAAAGATCAGTAGCAAGAAAACAATATTGTGAGGATATTGCGGAGGTTTGGAGTACTGTGGAAGGGTCGATGTGCTTCACCCTAGAGCTGACTGCATTTCAGTTGCAGAGGGGGAAAAAACCCTATAAAAATACATAATAAGAACAAGAACAAACCAAGCCATAGCAAAACTTATTCATGGATAAACTGTTGAAAGTGGGCAGGCCTCAGTAAATGAAAATACAGCTATGTATTTTCCCCATGACTCTAAAATTACTATTACATACTTCTTTAAGAATCTACAAAAGAGAAAAGGGGGGGGGGAGGATTTGATCATTAGCAGGCAAGTGATGAATCCAGCATGTTCCTCCAATACCCAGAATTCCCTTTGGCTCCAGTGACAGCTCTGATAGGGCAAGGAAAGTGGTATAAGTTCTCACATCTGCCTACTGACCTCTGTGCCTTTAGGGTTTCACCCTTCTGCCTCCTGTTGGCATTTCTTCTTTCACTGGAGGAGAGAGCACTGATTTGCGCCATATGGATATGGGAATGTAAGATGAATAGCAGCTGGCCCTGCGCTAGAAAGCATTCTCGTCATCTGCCGACTCTCATGTCATTCCTCCCCCACCCCAGAACCTGATTCAAGGACCCTGCATTCTGATGAAATCACAGAGATTAATATTGCCCTTATCACTGCTTGAAATGCTAGCTCCTGAGCTGACAAGGACAATTCGAAACAGCGTTGGCTGATGATTCTCCAGATGTGGTTGGCTTCCAAGTACCCTCAGTTCCTGCCAGCATGGCCAATGGTCAGGGATGCTGTGGGAGCTGTAGTCTAGCAACATATGGAGGGCCACAAATCAGCCTGTTTTTCTACCTATTTCCCTGTCCATTCCATTCAGCTTCGTTCCACTTCCTGTATGTTTGGCATGCACACTTTCCTTCTAAAATGCTCCTTTTTCCTGGCCCTCTGCATAGCAACCTGGATAGAGTGCTGTTTTCTGCACTTTGGTCATAGTCCAGCACAGAGTTAGGTAAGATTTCAGTCCATTTGCATGAATGGGCATAAGCATGGAAGTCTAAAAGAGAGACGTGCAAACCAAATACCCTGGGACACATCGTAGGCCCTTGCCAGGAAATATTAGGGAGGCCACGTGTCCTATGGAGGACAGCCCTCTGTTGAAGGCGTCCAAGTCAAGTTTAAAGATAAAGAACCCATCAGAAGGAAGAGCAGGAAGAGCCTTGAAGTTGCCTGACAACAGGGAACGCCTGGGCAGCAGGCTGAGCAGGCAAACATGCCACCTTCCCCACTGTAGTAAAAGGTACTGTATTTCTACTTAAATTATAGTACAATGGTTTATTACTTTGTATCTATGCATATACATTTAATTCATGCAGATTTTATGCAAATCAAATGCGTGCCCTCCTTTGGTGAGGCATAGACTGCCATTTGAGAGTTAAGGCGCCCCAGCATGCATTCCCTGCATTTTTGGAGACATATGTTTCCCATTTCCCCCCTCCCTCCTGCATGCCATCTGCAGCACACCCCAGTGGAACTTGTGAACTGTGCACTTCTGCTCAGAAGCAAGTGCCCTTAGCTTCAGTGGGGGGCTCTCTCACTGGTAAGGTTGCAGCTTTGGACTGTCACCAAACTGGGGCAGGATTCATTAATGCATCTCTGCTTTGAAATGCTTCATCCCACCACATGGCACTCGAATGCCTTCAGAGGAGCTAATGAAGATCATATTAAAATGCCTAGCGCTGCATTTTGATGTGTTTCCCTCCCAACAAGCTTTGATTCAAAATGAGAAAAAGAACAAGCTGGCAGCTTGCTGGGCATCTCTGGGGAGGAGGTTCTGTAAGGAGGATGCTATTGCTCAGAAGACCTTCCTGACGCCAGAAAGCATGGCACTCAGAGCAGGGTGTCTTCCAAAGATCTGAACATTCTGAACTGGTGTGTACACTCACTTGTGTATGCTGGCAAAGGTTCCTTAGGACATCATAGATTAAGACAATCCCTTGTGTGAATTGTGCCCAGAAATCCCTGGTTGGTTAATCGCCTGCTTGCTGACTGATTTGATCTAATTCATTGACGGCGTATTACCAAAACTGTCAGGAAATAAGGAGGATGATATTACCTGGAAGACCTTCCTTATGCCCATTATCAGGGTGATTCCCCGTCCCCCACAATATTAAAGCGAGTGTGAGATTATAATTTTATAAGGAAATGCCATCTTTTGTATTCCACCCCTCCCCCAATTCCTATTACACCAATATACCACAGCCTGAATAAACACATGTACACTCACCTTTCCCTACCGGTTAATCAGCCAAAGCTTTAGTTGATTAATCTATCAAACTGATTAAACCTGCAGTCCTGTACCTGGGTACAAATCCCATTTGAATCAATGGAACTCACTTATCAGTAGACATGAACAGGGTTAAACTATAAACCTGGAGCAGTACAAAGGAGAAAACTCTGGATGTTCAGATCTGATCTGCAGCATCCTTAGGTAATTAACCTGTGTAGGTGAAGAATCCCCTTTACTATTCATAGTGATTATTATGCAAAAAGAGGTGAAAATGCATTGTGGAATGGATAAATTACCATACACTGAGAGGCTCAAAGCTATCTCTTGTGAACTGAACCAACACAATGGATTAAAAAATAAATAAATCACCCTGCATGCATTATTTAATGACTTATATGTGTGAATGATAAGGGACGCGGGTGGCGCTGTGGGTAAAACCTCAGCGCCTAGGACTTGCCGATCGCATGGTCGGCGGTTCGAATCCCCGCGGCGGGGTGAGCTCCCGTCTTTCGGTCCCAGCTCCTGTCCACCTAGCAGTTCAAAAGCACCCTTAAGTGCAAGTAGATAAATAGGTACCGCTTTATAGCGGGAAGGTAAACAGTGTTTCCGTGTGCTGCTCTGGTGCTGGTTCGCCAGAGCAGCTTCGTCACGCTGGCCACGTGACCCGGAAGTGTCTGCGGACAGCGCTGGCTCCCGGCCTCTAGAGTGAGATGAGCGCACAACCCTAGAGTCTGGCAAGACTGGCCCGTGTGAATGATCACTGTTAATAAAATATAATTATTACCTCCTGTCCTTTTTGGAGGCATTACCTTTTCTTCTGATCTCACAGTATACCATTCTGGTGCAACCACATATGTATCTAGAACTCACCATAGCATTTAATGATAGTCGCCCATGAAAGCTTATGTCATAATCACTTTGTTCGCCTTCCTCTTTTTTTGCACCGTGAAGCCTAACCTTTGATTGAACTTCCTCCCGTTCAGCACATGTGAACATTTCACAAGTGTAGTCATTTGACAAGAAGAGATGGCTGGCGTTTGTGTGTAAACTAGGAAAGTGTGCAGCTTGGGAAGCCAACCCATGCTTTTTTTGCTTCAGGACTCGCCATCCACGTCCCCAGCCTTGCGTCAGTCAGGAAGCTGCTTTTCAAAGAAATGTACTTTCGCTTGTTCAGGCTTCCTGTGGAATGTCAGTGGGCTGGTGCTGATGGAAGATGTGTGCAAAATCCATCTTTTGCCATCTCAGCTGTGCGGTGCGTGCTTTGGATTTTATTTCTTTGAGCGGAACGAGACAAAGATGGGGCGAGTTAAAAGATGCAGTGAAAGCACAGATTATACAGGGAATAGTAAGCATCTTTTGCCCTGGACAATATCAACAACAGTTTGTGGCAAAGCAGCTGTGGTAGCAATAGCAGACGAGCATGCTAGAAATGACTTTGCAAAAGGTGTGTTTGAGATCTCCTTTGTTTTCCATTGCCCCTTCTCATGCTCTCACTCTTTCTTCCAAACCCAGGTTTTATAAGTTTATTGCATTTATATTGCACCTTTTCCTCCAAGAGGTTCTCCCTCTTCTCATTTCATGCCCACAACAACCCTGTGAGGTAGGATAGGTTTGAGAGGCCGTGACGGACCCAAGACTACCCAGTGAGCTTCATGGCCAGGTGGATTTGAACCCTGATCTCTCAGGTCATAGTCCGACACTCTAACCACTACACCAGCACTGGCCCTTAAAGAATCTGCCACCACAATTCATATACCCTCCCCCAAGGCAAAGTAGGTTTGCCTTGACTGGAAGAGCAAATAAGTGTCTGCCCGAGACTGTATCTTTTCCCTTTCACAACCGAGAGCACAAGCTTTGGGTGTTTTGCTGTGAGAATTTTGCTTGGGGCAGCTAGAGCGGGAAAGGCCTGTGCATGATTTCTACCCCCCCCCCTCACCCAGATGCGCTTCCATAGGAAATTCACTCCCAGGCCTTCCTGAGGCTAAGTGAGTTGATGGTGCTTGTCAGGAACATGGCACAATGAGGCTGGTCACAATGCTTTGAAATCCAAAGCCAGAATTGAGATGCTAATTCTGACCGGAGTCTTCCAAATTTAGAAGCTGTCACATGCTTCAGTTCATCCCAAGGCAGTGCTTCCAATGAAAGGCAGGAGAATATGCTGGAGAGAAGTTTTTACACTGGACTTGTGGGCATGCAGACCAGAGCTGAAATTTGCTAGTAATCTTTCTCTGAGGGGTGGGGAATGGCCCCCTCTTTGCCAAGGTATGGCGATTAAATAACCCGGCTTGGTTCAAGCCTGTATCAAGAGCAGCACAACAGATAATGGCAGTAGAAAATTTGAATCATTAACCCAGAGAGGAAAATCCTCACTGTCAAAGTCTAGCCAATATTTTTAGCTCCTGCTGCCCCAAGCTTTGCATTACGCTGATTAGCCTATATTTGTATATGTGAGAAAGTTAAAAATAAAGCCAGTGGAAAGCGGCAACCTAGTAATAAACACTCTGCTTGATATGGAGGTTTGGGAATGGTAAAAGTTTCAACAGTTCTCCTCCCTCGGCCTCGTTCCCGGATCTCTCTACCCTTTAGCATTGGCTGCAAGATCCACGGCTAAGGAAAAGGACATTGAAGGACATATTTCTCCTCACCAGCAATCCTTTGGAAATAAGTAGGCTGTTGTAAATCTCCAGAACACATAGTTGTGAAATGGCGTTTCAGAGAGAATTCTTTTGCAAGCATGTGGTGCAATCTTGGGAAAAAGAGCGCTCAAGAAATCCTCTTGGGTGATAACAGGCAATATCAAAACATGTAGCAACATGAGCACGCAGCAAGGATTGTGGGCCAGGCTGGAGAAAGCTTTGTAGTTTTAGTGCATTGAGATGAATGATTAAACCTGACTTCTGACTCTTGGTGTTTGTGTTTCCCATATCCAGGCTTTCGCTCTGTTGGTACATGCTGGTGGGAGACCTATAAAGAGATTATCCCGGGATGGTGGATCACTTGCTTCCTGCGGATGAGTCCTTCTCATCTGCAAGGCCTCTTCTCGGATACTTTGGGGACATGACAGCAATTGGCAGGTCGTACCACATGCTGCCGTCCCCCTTGTCGGAAGATGACAGCGACTCTTCGAGTTTTTGCTCTTGTTCCAGTCCCGATTCCCAGGTCCTGAGCTCAAGCTGCGGGAGCTCGTCAAGTGCCGAGAGTCAGGACAGCATCTTGGACTACTTGTTGTCTCAGGCATCCTTGGGGAATGGCCATGCCTCTTGGTGGGACAAAAGGAGACTTCAGCCTCTTGTGAAGGAGGAGCATTATAGGATGCCCGAATTCACAGTGGAGATGGAGGATTCGGGACCATTTCAGCCCACCCTGGAGGAAATCGAGGAGTTTCTGGAAGAGAACATGGAGACAGAGCTCAAGGAAGGACCCAAAAGCGAGACCAAAGACATGAGAGCTTGTGGCCAGATAACTGTGGCTTCCATGCAGCCCAAAGATCACATGGTACCCAGTATTAGTTTAAAAGATAGCAAAAGCGAACAGTCAAGTGGCGCGATGGATGCATCAAATGGAGCCATGTCCCTCGATGGGGGGATCCCAGTCATGCTCCAAATCCAACCAGTGCAAGTTAAGCAAGCATCAAACGCGAGCCCTAGTTCACAGGGACCTGCGCAAGAGAACATTAAAATTGCACAGCTCCTGGTCAACATCCAAGGGCAAACGTTTGCACTTGTGCCACAGCTTGTTCCGTCGTCCAACTTGAACTCCTCCTCCAAATTTGTCCGCATAGCCCCAGTTCCGATCGCTGCAAAACCAATTGGGCCTGGAGGTACGATCCAGGGGCAAACTGGGGTCATCATGGGTCAAAAGTTTCAAAAGAACCCTGCGGCAGAACTCATTAAAATGCACAAATGTACTTTCCCCGGATGTACCAAGATGTACACCAAAAGCAGCCACTTGAAAGCCCACCTGAGGAGGCACACAGGGGAGAAACCCTTTGCGTGTACGTGGCCCGGTTGCGGATGGAGGTCAGTATTGGGGTGTGGTGGCTGGCTGGGTCGCATAATACTGCCATTCGTTCCATGTTATTTGCCAGCTGGTGATTTTGAACCAAATTAATTGAAGGATGTGCCTTCTTCTCTAGTACCTGGCGATCATGAGAATTTAAGCACGTTCTCTCGAAATGAGATGACGCTAGGAACATCTACGAATCAAATGGCATAACCTCTTGGGCTTTAGTGGCAGAAAAGGTTTTGTTTTTCAACACAAACAGTTGTCAACTCAGCTCATAAAAGAGAGATTGAACTTGTCAGAACAGGCATTGCGAGCTGTATACTATGGGCTTGGTTGCGATGCATTTCCCGCAATCAGCACCAAAGGAAAGGATAGATGCCAAGAAGAGTTCAGTGGTGAAGCACAGGATTTGAATACAAAAAAGTCCCAGACTCAGCCCTCTCCAGTTAAATGGCTGGGTGGCAGGTGAGATGACAGTACTAGGCTAGATGGGCAAAGTATTTTGACAGCTTCATATGTTCCTATAATTGCAGTTAGTGAAAAAAGAGGGAGGGGAGAATTATCAATTGTATATCCATCTTCACTATCTTTAAGTGAATGCATACAATCAGACCCATGGAAATCTCTACTTTCTGAATGGCTTGACACTCCTTCTGACTGAATCAACACAAATTCCACCAGACTTTGCAAATCTGGTCTGCTAAATGTCTGTTGACCTGCATCTCATCTGTGTGCTCAGCATCTTTGTTGTGGCTGCCACCCCTGCACTTGTGAGGCGACGTCAAATGCCATCTTGCAGTGGGTGGTGCTTGCTACATGTTGCAGTTGGGCATGGATACTTGAGGATGAAATAGGCATGCTTCTTTTCAGGATGGGGAAGGCTTAGTCAAAATGCCTCCAAACACTCTGTTTTCCGCAGGCTGTAAGTAAGAGAGACTAGACAGAGGAATCGCTGTGTAATCGCTGTGGTTTTCCTATGGCGTAGGATCCAATGTTGGTCATGCCTGGAGGCATGAGATTCTCGGTTGGACATTTGGCTTGACTCAGTATTTATGTTCTTCAATTTCCATATTTGTGACACTTCCCTAGGTTGATTGCCCTATGCCTGCAAGGAGCGACTCATAACATTTCTCACCCGTGGTTTTTAGGGAAATAGTTGATTATTAACTACACAGTTGGCCTCCCGTCCTGATGGCTTCCTGTCATGGCATTTAGAATATTTGCTCTCCCTAACAGTGAACCCTAATGCAAATATTTTTGTGGAAAATTTTGTTTCTGTGAGCGGGGGATGTGAGGAAATTATGACAAATGTTCAGATTTTTTTAAAATGCTGGTGAAGGAAAATGATTTTGGTATTCTGTAGCCAATGGACTTGAAATCCCAGCAAGCCTGTCTGAGGACTCTCAGTGACTCTCCAGTCCTCTTTGCTTTCCCATCCTTTCTTCTGAGGATGTATTTTATGAAAGCCACAAATGTACGTCATTTTCCTAACTTCAAGGGAAGTGAGCATGGATAGCATGAGCAGAAGATGTCAAGAGGGCAGTGGGTGAAACTGTCACAAGTTGTAGAGAAGAGCCTGAAATCACCAATTTTTAAAATTTGTTTTTTAGTATGCTTTAGGACAGGATTTCTCAAACTTGGGTCTCCAGCTGTTTTCAGACTACAACTCCCATCATCCCTAGTTAGCAGGCTAAGTAGTCAGGTATGATGGGAATTGTAGTCCAAAAACCGCTGGAGACCCAAGTTTGGGAAACTCTGCTTTAGGGCTCCAAATGTTGTTGTACTGCAGCTCCCGTAAGCCTTGAGCTGGGGCTGATGGGAGTTGTAGCTCAGCAACACCCAGAGAGCCCAAAGTTCCACACCCCTGCTTTACAGCAAGAGTGGGGAACCCTTTTCAGCTTGAGGGCCACATTCCCTTCTTGGCCACTGTTCAGAGGCCACATGCAAGTGTGAGTCTGGAAGCAAATTGGGTGGAGCAACAAATGCAAATGTTACCTTTGTGCAGTAGGTGAGTTTCTACACCCGCTTACACAGTACAATCTGTCCTCCATTCAGACAAGCAAGGGCCATTGACAGAATTCTAGGATACTTTCCAGCCATGCAAAAGCACTCATGAGAAGATGAGCCAGCGATGGCTTGTGGCTAGGGCAGGACGTGTGGCCTGAGGGCTAGATAGAGAGGCCCGGAGTGCCCAACCCTTAAAAAGAGTAAGAACTAATATCTAAGATACCTTCTTTATGAGGTTCGGCTTTGTGGAATGTCACAAAGTTCAGAAAATGGCAGCTGTACAGTTATCACAGGAGAGAGGGCAGTGGATATGGCCCAGGCGATATGTTGCATTACTGGGATGGGGAATGTGCTTGCATTGATGACTGCCTGCGTCCTCGTGAATAACAGCTGACTAATATGAGTGATGTACACCAGCCATGGATGATTGTCCACCAAAGGTTTGATAGACCTCTCATGTTTTTGCTGCCTCTGCAAAAATCAGGGGAAGGGACAGTGCACAGCTGTGATCTGCTTTGGTGCATTGTGAGTTGTGTAGGCCTGATACTGTGGCATCCAGGCTCTAAGTGCTGTGGAGAACAATAACATACATCACCAGAGGTCTTCCTCTTTCTTTACGCAATAAACTACACATCCTGCAGATCCTTACGCCCTTTAATCTTTTTGGGTGGGAGCTATTATTTTGAGGCAGTGCCTATGTTAACTACATTAGCTGATATGTACATTTGACAGCTCTAGCTCATGGTCAGTATGAGGAGGAGACTTATGGAAGACAGCAGCTCAACAGATCAGTGGCAGATTGCAGGCAGGCAAGATTATTCAAGGAGATGGCAAAGTACGGCCACTGCGGGGGGGGGGGGGATTGCGTGCGAAGGGCAGGGCTTGGGTGGAACATAGCTATCAGAGAGTCTTGAGGGACAGAGAGGGCCCAGGGTTTCCCACCCCACATTTGCAATGGGTATTTGTTATTGAAAGGAAGGAAGAAGCGGCCGCCCATTTCCCAAGGAGTTTGTTTCTTCCAGTATACCTCTCTAGGATTAGTCCAGAATTTCAATGCACACTTACATGGTGTTTTTGGCCATCCAAGTGAGATTGGCAAGTAGTTGGGGCTAACTGAGCCCAAAATTGCACAGCTTTCCTTTTATCAGCAGAGAATGTTTACTTTCCAGAAGTTCAGAGAGAGCTGGGACCTCACATGACTTGTGTGTGCCGAGTACACCTGGAGCTTCTGTTCTTTTCCATTTTTCTTTATCGCCCTGTATTGAACACACAGGCCCAAGAGATACACTTCTGGTATTTTTCCTTTCGTTGTTTTCTTTTCCTCTTTGTGTAGGATTCCTTTTTCCAAACAGATGCATTTCAGGTGTTTGTTTGCGTCAAGAGCAATTAAAGAAAATTGCCCTGGTCTGTTGTAAATGGAAACACAAGACTTAGAATCAAAGAACTGTAGAGTTGGAAGGGACCTGAAGGGCCTAAGGCATCCATGACAGATGGCCATCTAACCTCTGCTTAAAAACCTCCAAGAAAGGAGAGACCACAACCTCCTGAGGGAGTCTGTTCCGCTGTCAAACAGCTCCTACTGTCAGAAGGTTTTTTCTGAAGTTTGGTCGGAATCTCCTTTCTTATAACTTCGCTATGGACAGCACTAAAGCTGCTCCTTCTTTTAGATGAGACAGTGAGGTTAAAAACAAAATGTCATTGCTGCTGAATAGCTTCCCTCAAAAGAGAACCTGGGTATTCAAAATGCACCAGGAAATCTGATGTGCCTATATTCTAATACATCTACTACAGATTGGCTTATCCATTTCTCCATTCTTCTGTTGCAGGAGTAGTCAGTGTTGTGCCTTGCAGATGTTCTTGGACACTATTTCCCATCAGCCCCAGTCAGTCTGGCCAGTGCTCAGGGAGGTTGGGAGCTGGAGTCTTACAATGCCTGGGAGCCACCATGTTGGCTACCCCATGCTGCTGTGTGGTACGACCCTCCTTCTGTCTGTAGTATGATGGCTGCAGCAACAGCAATGACTTTGCTACACAGGCTGTTATCTGACCACAGTTGCTCATCTTACAGTAGTGCATTACTACCGTAGTAGAACATCAAAACACATTTAAAGTAGGCAAGGCAGAATCAAATGGATCTTTCTCTGCTCCTGCTCCATGGGACCAAGCCTCAGTAGATGCTGAAGGAGCCAAGTTTAGTGCCTGGCATCTCCAGTAAAGACCCATCAGGTGATGGGAAAGGTCTGTGTCTTGGAAACCCAGAGAGAGAGAGAGAGAGAGAGAGAGAGAGAGAGAGAGAGGGAGGGAGTCACTGCTAGCCAGACAATGCCAAACTGGTAGGATAAATATATGGTCTGACCTGATGCAAGGCAACTGAAAGGTCTTGCCTGAAACCCTGGATATCTTCTGCCAGTCAAGTGTAGATAATACTGAGCTAGGCAGAACATTGGTCTGACTCAAAATAAGGCAGCTTCCTATATTCAAAGCCAGACCAGTTTTGCTTCACCAGGGTGGTAGCCTCCCTTGCCTTCAGACCATACCCTGGGACCATTTATCGTCTTTGTTACTGTTGTACCATTATGAGAGCCTACAAAATAAATAACCTGTTGTGTAAAGCAATCAAACAAGCCCTGCAGGCAAATGACAAATATCTCCCATTGGAACGGACGCTTTCCCACGATTGCACTGCATCTCCTCTATGAATGCAGTTCAAGGTGTCTGTTTGCTTATTTATTTTATTTCACAAAATTTATATACCACATGATTGTAAGAAAACCTCTTATGCAGTTTACAAAAAATATAAAATAAAACATTCAAATTATCATTAAAAACAATTTAAAACCAGCATTTAAAAATATTATATTAATGCAACATGTGGTTAGCAAGAGCTGAGTGTTACCAGAACTTGGGATGAAGCAATTGGCAAACACAAAATGTAAGTGAGCTGTGGACTTATAATTTGGAAAGCCATCAATACACTTATAATGGCTGGACCACCATAATTAACTCAGAAATGCATTTTTCATTCAAAAATCCAATTTGGAATCTGCTATGGTTCACATAGTTGAACTCAGATTTCATGCTGAATGCAGATATCCAATTCCTGGGTTGGTATTTGACCTATGAAATTGATATTTAACCCCCCATCTTTGATATTTTAGGATGTGTGATACCTGAAATTCTATATATCAGTCCTTGGAACTTGAAACATACCAGCTTTTCCTTCAGAATACCATTCCTTTGTGTGTATATAAATTTGATAAGTAAATAAAAATAAAATAATGTTTGTCAATCAAGGCGGTATAATTCAAGGGTGGAGAACGATAATAGTTTTAACTGAGAAGCATTTGAACCTGGGTCCTCAGATGCTGTCGAACTACAATTCCCATCACCCTTGACCATTCGCTAACCTGACTAGGGATGCTGGGAGGTGTAGTCTAACAAATACCTGGGGATTCAAGGTTGAAGAATACTGATGTAGGGCATATGGAGACACAGCGATGCCTATTGGCTACTTCTTGTACCTTTTCTTTTATGCAAGGCATTCAGCACAGCTGCACTAGAAAGCAGACACAGTCCATTAGCTGCAGTCTGCACACTTCTAAGGCACCCGCCACCACATAAGAAAATGTGGACAGGTTTTTGAAAAATACAGAAGCTGGACTGGCGGCGCATAATATGAAGGTGCTAAAGAATACTGCAATTGACCAACACAAAGCAAATTGTGTCTCTTGATGTAAAGGTAAAGGGTCCCCTGACCATTAAGTCCAGTCACGAAAGACTCTGGGGTTGCGGCGCTCATCTTGCTTTATTGGCCAAGGGAGCTGGCGTACAGCTTCCGAGTCACGTGGCCAGCATGACTAAGCTGCTTCTGGCGAACCAGAGCAGCACACGGAAATGCTGTTTACCTTCCCACCAGAGCAGTACCTATTTATCTACTTGCACTTTGACGTGCTTTCGAACTGCTAGGTGGGCAGGAGCAGGGACCGAGCAATGGGACCTCACCCCATTGCGGGGATTCAAATCGCCGACCTTCTGATCGGCAAGTCCTAGGCTCTGTGGTTTACACCACAGCGCCACCCGCGTCCCTGTCTCTTGACCGTAATAAAAAAAATTAAAAGGTGTGGGGTATCTGTCAAGTAAAGAAGATATATGTGGTATGAAGCACATTTCCACATGTGAATAATGTGCAGCACTCCCTCCTCCAACAGTTTCAGAGGGTTCCCCCCTCTGAGTCAAGGTGCATAGTATCCGAGGCACTTGAGACAGAAAATCCACAAGTACCTCTCCTTGGGAGTAAAGGCACAACATCCAATTAAATAACTAACAAACTGCTGCCCTTCTATGACACCCCTAAACCAACCTGAGGCAGCTGCTTCACTCTGCCAGCAACCCTCCCTTGAAGCATGCTTAAATCCCACTCAAGCACTTTTTACCCAGATTTTCTGAGCAATTACCGTAACATATGGGAAGAGATCTCCCCCTTTCTCACTTTCCGGGCTCAGCTAATTGCTGTGAAACCCAGGCAGCTTTCTACCATGATTCCAGGATCTGTCACATGTCCTGCTTGTTTGACCCGAGAACCACCTGTGATTGAGTCGAACTCTTTAAGGATATGTTACATCATTCCATGTGCACCATGACACGAAGGCCAGCCAAAATGAGCAAACAAAAGTTGGTAAGGCTAGTGTGTGGCGATCGCAAGGGATTCTACGTGCTTCACATGTTCACCTTCTGAGTCTTTTCTTTTGTATAAACACGCAGGGAGCAGGGAGTGTATTTCTGCTGGTATAGTAAGCCGATCTTTCCAAGCAAGCTGGGCAACAGCATAGCAACATTGTTACCTGATCAACTGCAGGGTTTAGTCATGAGAATATTCTTATCATATTAACTCACGCTGCTTTCCATGGCTCAGATAGCACATATCTTTGAGGTGCTCATGCATCTGCCCCTGGTTTTGCTAATAATAAAAACTCATCCCAATGGACTCAGCATTTATGTGTGTGTGTGTGTGTGTGTGTGTGTGTGTGTATGCAGAAATAAATCCAAGCATCACACAATGAGGGCCACAGGAATTTGGCACTCCTGCATTTCTCTTGAGAATTATTATTTTTTGCTTAAAAAACAAAACAAAATGCATTCACCTAAACATAGCAATCTACTATCTTTTCAGGCAAACACATTTTACAGATTTCCTTTCTCTTCCAATTTGCATTTAGTAAATGACTGCGGCTTCATTCATTTACTACAAGCAAACAGCTGACAGCACTTCTTAGGAATTATTTTCAGTGCCAACCTTTGCTACTGTTCCAGCTGACACCCACTTCATAGCACCGTCTTTCGAAAGGGGCAGTAGTCTCAGTTGTGCATCCTGAACACTTGGGGTTTTCAGAGGAGTTTCAGCATTACTCAGAGCTAGAAATCAGCATTGTCCTGCCTTGCAACTCTATGAATTCATCTCAGTATTGACAGTACAATGGTACCTTGGGTTACAGGCGCTTCAGGTTACAGACGCTTCAGGTTACAGACTCTGCTAACCCAGAAATAGTACCTCGGGTTAAGAACTTTGCTTCAGGATGAGAACAGAAATCGCGCAATGGCAGTGCGGTGGCAGTGGGAGGCCCCATTAGCTAAAGTGGTACCTCTGGTTAAGAACAGTTTCAGGTTAAGAACGGACCTCCGGAATGAATTAAATTCTTAACCTGAGGTACCACTGTATTTAGGGTTTTCTTTTCTTTTCCCCTTTCCTGATGTTAGGCAGGAGCTGCCTAAGGTATTAGCTCAGAGAGTTATATTGCTAGCTGAGGGTCTCTCTCTCCCCCCTCTCCACAATCTGACTGAGCCTTGTTGTGTTCAAAATGGCGTCGTTCTGTGCCTTCCGATATGAGAGAAACATTTGTATGAGACAGTGTCACTCTCTTCCTCCTTTGAAATCAGTGCCAGTGGATATGAAATGACTACTTTTAACTATGCTTGGTGGCCGACATCTGCCTCTGTGCTGCTAGTGGTTCATGGATAATGACTTTGTCCCAATGTATTGGAGAATTTCCCACATGTTGCCACCATTTTGGGGACAGGTCTGCTAGAGCATGTGGGAAATAGCTTGATGTCGAATGTGAGTCACTGCATTTTATTGATTGATTGATTCATTCCTCTCCGTTGAATTTGCTTGACAAAGGTGTTTGGCATACGAGACCTTTCTTCTTCAGCAGGCAATTGAAGGGGAACTTTTCAGTTTTTACGAGTAATTTTAATCAATCCTATCCATTACATGCTTTTTAATTTTTATGTACACCAATTAGAAACATTGGTAATTAACTGGTCTACACATAGCTTAAACAAATGACTCAGTAAGAGGTGCTTGACAGTGGAACAGACTACCTCAGAAGGCTGTGGACTCTCCTTCAATGGAAGTTTTTAAACAGGGGACGGATAGCCACCTGTCAGGGATTCTTTACCTGTGATCCCTGTCAATCAGTTGATTGTCAGGGCTTGCAAAGCACCATGCACTGTGGTGTGCATACCCTGATGATCACTAGGGTTTCTGTACACAGTGCAATGGAAAAACAGATCACAGAGTGTAATTGTGATGCCAGGTGACTGACAAGTGGGCAGCCTCAGGCCCATAGGGGAGTGGTTTATTGGGCAAATGATACTGTTACCTTGATATAGGTAGGGTGGATTGAGTCTGCTCAGAGCCTCGAGGGGAGACTGCCCAGGAAATCCATGTATGTCATGTTGAGTTCCATGTTGGGAGAAAGGCAGGATATCTACTAAAATAAATAAAATTATAGGGATTACAGGATAGAAAGTACCTTGGTTAAGCTTTTGTGGAAGAACTATACCATATGAACAAAGATTTCAAAAGGGGATTTACAGCTGCCATCTGTGAGAAATTCTCCATTTTGTTCTGTTGAAACTGGATGAAATCCAGGAGATCTTGTCATAATAAGAGAATAACCTGAGGTATTTGGAGAAATGGTTGGAATCGTTGCGCAACAGCAGCCAGCTCTCCTATTCATGAATATGTTTGTTTTACACACAATTTTGTTCTGTCTGCTTATAAATCACTTTTTGTCCTCTTTTCATTGTGTGACTTCGTCCTTTGGTTTTTCATGCATTGGTGACAACCAAAGACAACAACCTACTGATAACCCTTCCTCTCCCCCCTTACTGACTTTCAGGTTTTCACGATCAGATGAACTATCCCGGCACAGGCGCTCGCATTCTGGAGTGAAGCCGTACCAGTGCCCTGTGTGTGAGAAGAAGTTTGCTCGGAGCGACCATTTGTCCAAGCACGTCAAAGTCCACCGGTTTCCTAGAAGCAGCCGCTCGATGCGCTCAGTGAACTGAGGGGTGTGTGTGTGTCTCACTTGCTCCTTTCCACCCCTTCACCCATGAACAGGAACTGACAGAACTTTGTTCGGTATCCTCCTCACGATAATTTATTTGTCTCCCTGTAACAGCTGATGCCATGACTTCACACACATCTATTTTTTAAAAAAGAAAAAGAAAAAACAAACCACCCACCACCTTTACCTTATTTCTTTTCCTTTCCTTTGCTGCTGCTTCTTCCTTTTGAAATTACAGTGTTTTATTTTTAGCTGTTTTCTCCTGCACCATGATAATTTATGGGCTACTTGCTGCTAGTTAATTATAGTTCCGGCATTCCTGAAGGCTTTGCTCATGTACAGGGCTATTCGTTGTGAGGGGTAATTTTTTTTTTAAAAAAAGCATTATTATTAAGTTGGCCTATTTGTCCAGTTTGGAAACAGCAAATTCCTTTCAAAATTAAAACAATGCATTTTTGGCAAGGTTGGGGTGGGGTGGTAGGCTTATATATTTTGTTGAGGTGATGGTGTTCCTTATCTAGGAGTTTGTAGAGGCCTGGTAGTCCTGTCAGGGCAGAGGCCTTTGATGGCTAAGGCCCACTCAGCAGTAGAAGCACAGAGAATAAGGTCATCAATGACTATTAGCCATGGTGGCCATGTTCCATCTCCACTGTTGGAGCTAACACATGCCTCCAAATACCAGGTTTTGGGACTCGCAGGCTGGGAGAGTGCTTTTGCACTCCAGTCCTCCTTGAGGGTTTTCCACAGGCATCTGGTTGGCCACTGTGAGAACAGGATGCTGGACTAGATGGGCCGCGGGCCTGATCCCACAGGGCTCTTCTTATGAGCAGGAAGGCCTCCAAATGCAGCACACATTTTGAAGTCATACACACTGCCACCTAAAGAGGGATGCCTCATGCGACTGTTAGGTCCAGAGTCTAAAGTGATCTAGCTGCCCCACTGTAGAGGTTATCAAATGAGGAAGGGCAAAAGGAGCATATGGGGTGTATGATGTGTGTATTTGTGTTTCTGTGTGGGAAATTGCAAACCAGCTGATATTTTGCTGCTCTTGAGCAGAGCTGCACAATATCCTGTCAGCTGCCAGAATTGTGGCCTGAAAAGCTCATAAGGTCCAGATCCTTCCTAGTTCTGTACACAGTCTGCTGGAGTCTTGTCAGGGCCTGTTCTCATAAGCCACCAAATTAATTCTCCCTGGTTCCTTTCCAGGCTGACAAGAGTCTTCCATGTTATCTGCTATTCCACCAGTGTGTATTGGTTCCACCCCTTGCCCCTCCTGAGGTCAGTATTTTTGAAATCAAAAAGCTGGCAACCAAAGGAGGAAGAAACAAAAGGATAAAATGTGGAATGTATGTCCTTTGCCCAATTATCCAGATTACTAAAACACACCAGTCTCATTCAGTTCATGGATGATAAATATGCATAGGGTGAGGTGCATCTCAGCGACAGACTCTGCCCCCCCCTCCAGTCTTTGGGAGCAGTTCTTGACTGCTGCTTCATAGGTTTCAAAGTCACAGTCCAGCCAGAATCCAAAGCAGGCTGGCAGTACAATAGCTGATCAGTGTGTTTGTGTGTGAGTGTGGCTGGTGTTAAGGCAGAGCGTTGAATGTTGGCTTCCTATGGAGCCCAAAATATAGCCAAGCCAATGTGCTCTATAAAAGATTTTTCATTGGAGAGGAGTGATGCTCACAGGCCTGTAGAAATGATGTATGCTCTTTGGCAAAGATTCATAGTCCGGTGATCATGATGTGGGAGGACTGGATGTAAGAGTGATACCTTGTTTTTGGGCCACTGCGTTTTCACAATGCATACAGCCTGCATCACGTACCATTCCTGCAGGAGCCTAAGGTACCTTCTGCCAAAAGTTACAACCTCCTCCTCACATGGCTTTTGATGGGCACAGAAGTAACTGGGATGGCTCTTTGCATCTTCCCAGATGGATGCGTGAAGAAATGCTGGACTCATTTCCCCCACGTTTACAGCATGGAATGAAATCCTTATCCCCCCAGTCGCTGGGGAGGGAGGACTTAAAAGACTTCTTGAATGTTTTGCGAAAGCACTTTTTTTGAGCCGTAGGAGGCAAGCACCCCCCAGCACCCCCCAAATGTGGAGTATCTTCATGGGCTGCTATTCAGAGAGCAATGCAACTGGGGCATCGTGCGTTTTAGCCAGCTGGTGCAGTAGCTGTCTCAAGGGCTAAACAACAACAACAAAAAAGGGAATACGTACATACATATATATATCAATATATATATATACTTATAATGCAATGCTGGCAGCAAAATTATTGTGTTAGGAAACATTTCCCCCCCTGCCCCCCTTCTTTTTCCTTTATTTATGTACTCAGCTAATCGTAGGAAGCTTTCTAGCAAAATAGAATCTGGTAATTAGAGAATATTTGTTTAAAGCAAAATACAGTTGAGTGTGTTGCATCTCTTCTCTGATCATAGACAGTGCCTGTGTCCGTGACTCAACCCCTCTGAAAGCAATGGGACGGGATGAGTAGCTCCTACCTGAAGATCCATTGGTTTCAATGGGACTTGGTTGCAATTAACTTCTGTAGGATTAAGCCTTGTCTGTCTTGTCAACTTTTTTGTTAGCCAAATGGGAAATAAAACACTGCAATTCTAGCATTCGTACCAGGTCAAAATGCAGACCACGTCGCCACGTTCGAGCAAGAGCTCCACTCACTACCTTCATCTAGGAATGCATTCCTTTTGTCGTCTAAGAAACAAGTATAAACAAATCTTTCTTCTATTGACTGGTTTTTATCTCACATCCTATGAATGTATGTAAATAAAACTGTACATATTGCATATCTATATAAAATATCTTTTAATAACGTATGAGAAAATTGTGTAAATTTGAAACAAAAGAATATCTTTAAAGCCAGTGTACATAAGTTACAACCCTGTATATTTTTTTCCTTTTGTTCTTCATAAAATATATTTACTTTGACAATAAAAAGAAAATTGAAATTTTGCAAGTGATGTGATGCGCTTTTCTTGGTTTTCACAATCATGTTCTTCAGGAGTCCATGGAGCCCCTTGGCAGTGTGGATGGGAAAGAATAGTAATGTCTAGCATTTCGAAACATAGGAAGCTGCCTTATACTGAGCCGAGCTGCTAGGAAACTAACTTAAATGATGCAAAATCCAGAGAGAAAAGAAATCCTGATTACACTTTACTGAGTAAATTGAACAACAGAGAGGTTTTGTCTTTCTTACTTCAGGCCTTGTGCATAGCAGGGAGACATACAACCAAACATACAGAGGAAAAATCCCTCAGGAACACACAGCCAATCAGAGCACGTGCAACCTTGGTAAACATGTCACTCTGCATGGTTGCTAAGTAACACCTCCACCCACTCCCCTCTTGGCTAGTTGACTTTAACATTAAACAAAATCAACCATTAATTTGCACACAGAATGATCTTTGCTGTTTTACTTCCTGCACAGGCCATTGGCCCATCTTATTTAATGTTTCTACTGACTGGCTGCAGCTCTTCTGGGTTTCAGACAGGGAACTTTCCCAGCCATACTTGGAGATGCCAGTGATTGACCTTCTGCATGCTAAGCAAATGCTACAGCCCATTCCCCTTTGAGTGTGCTGGTATGACCACTGGCTAACACTGGCATTTGCACAGAAAGCAAAACTATGACAATACAAGGTAGACAAGCGTAAGATGATGCATGTCGGAGCTAAGCTTCCCAGGTCCAGGAAATCGCCTGGGAGACAAGCCATTAAGACTACAAAGGGTCAAAGAAATTCGGTGTGAGATGGCATATGGTTGGGGTCCCTCCCTCAACTTAGAAGATAAAATCAGAGCTTAGTTTAGAGAGGTGATGCAACTGAGTGATGCGACTGAGAAGCAAAGCAGCAGGCAGCACCATATTGGATCTCTGCTGGAATCCTAGGCTGCGCCTATGGAGGAAGCAAGACGCTCTTGGGGTATTGACACTGTGAACCCCTCCATCGTAGGCTCAGGTTGTGAATATGTGCAAATAAACCACATATAATAAAGACACTGCAATCTCCGTTGTGCCTCATTTACAGAAGGAAACACAAGGCCTGGGTAAGCGTCTGGAACCCCTGGAATCTTGTACCACCCAGAGATTGGGGTGGCGTGCAACAATAATATCCCGAGCTTATCAACATAGCGATGTCTCGAGAAGAAGGAATCACATCTGAACTGTGAGTTTTCTCCAGGACGTTCTTGTTCAGAATACAAAGTGAGTTTCCTCCTCACCCACACACCTTGCCCAGGAGGACACATTAAAAACTTACATCTTCCCACTTGTAGGGGCACAGACCAGAACTTAAAAAATTACTACTGCTACTCTTTGTACAAATTGGCTCCAACTGCAGCCTATTGGCAATTGCCTATTTCATCAAACATTGTTTTTCTAAATAATAATAATAATATATTTTTTTCTACCCCTCCCCATCTGGCTGGGTTTCCCCAGCCACTCTGGGCGGCTTTCACTAAAAACAGAATAAGCAGAACATTAAAAACAGAATAAAACTTCAAAAATTAAAAACTTCCCTAAACTTCTAAAAGTCAGGTAGTTGTTTGACATCTGTTGGGAGGGTGTTCCATAGGGTGGGTGCCACTAGCGAGAAGGCCCTCTGCCTGGTTCCCTGTAGCTTCACTTCTCGCAGTGAGGGAACTGCCAGAAGGCCCTCGGCGCTGGACCTCAGTGCCCGGGCTGGACGATGGGGGTAGAGATGCTCCTTCAGGTATACTGGGCTCAGTCTGTTTAGGGCTTTAAAGGTCAGCACCAGCACTTTGAATTGTGCTCGGAAACGTACTGGGAGCCAATGTAGGCCTTTCAGGACTAGTGTTATGTGGTCTTGGTGCCCACTCCCAGTCACCAGTCTAGCTGCAGCATTCTGGATTAGTTGCAATTTCCTATCCTTACTCTATGACCCATGCCTTGACTACTAACACACACACACACACACACAAACACACACACACACACACAAATAGGATGCCAATCAAATGCCTGCAACATTCCTGTTCTTGCTTAAATGTTGCTAATGAGCATTTTCAATCTTTCCAGTGATGCAGCTTTTCTTTATTAAGGTCATTTCCTGGGGAACGTATCCGGGCATATTGAAACCATTGGAAGGGAAGAAAGTGGATCTTGGTCCTTTCTTTCTTTTTTTAAAAG